CTTTTGCAGAATGTTTTTAGAGTTGGTCATTATTTTAAAATTGTGTTATTAGTATTATTAAAGAGAAACAGGGACAGAGAACATCCATAGTTTACTCTTCAAATGTCTTCAAGAACCCAGACTGGAGAGAAACCAGAAACTGGGAAGATAACCCAGGTTTTTCACATGGATAGCAGGAGCCCAGGTATTTGAGCCATCACTGAAGATTCCCGGGGTCCACATTAGAAGGAAATTGGGTCAGGAGTGAAGCTAAATATGGAACGCAGGCACGCCAACATGGAGTTCAGGTATCCAACCTGGTTTTGTAGACAACATGACTATTCTGATCATCATTCTTGATGTGACTAATGAAGAACTCATATCAGGTATTGAAGTGAAATCTGTTTTTCACTTGTGCTTATGTAATCGTTAGTGTTTTCTTCTATGGTATCTGAGTAGTAATCTTATGAAGGCATTTGTCCGTTCTGTTTGTTAAAATAAAACTAGGCATTACAAAGTCACCTAAATGGACACAGTCACAATTCATTGAAAGAAAATGAATGACACTTCCATTTCTCAACCATGCCGTGTTGCTATTTCTTTTCTTCCCCCGGTATGCTTTGCAAATATGACTTAAGTTTACTTTAATATACTTTCCAGTACAATGACAACACCCATATCATGCCATGTATTATCTGGTGGTAAAGCTTAATTTACTTCTTATTTTAGATAATAATACTATAGAAAAATAGAGATTGTAATATTTTCCTCTGCCACTGAAATTGATGAACATGCCCTACTTTGTAAATCACTACTCCCGTTTTTATTTTTTAATTGCTTCTGTTTACAGACTTGCTCTGCTTTTAGCTACAAATAGTTGCTTATAGTTGTACATACTAAGTTATAGCCAGCCTGGCTCCCTGGGATTAGACTCATGTAACTTCATTGAAGTTTCAAATGTCCTCAAACTATTTTTCTCACACAGTGCTAGGTTGCAATGATGGAACACTTTCTTTGCCCTGTCTTGTAGGCACATCTTTTCCCAATTTACTCTTAAGTGCTGTCTTGCTGCAAGTGTGTCACCTGTTTGCATTACTTCTCAGCCAATTTAACCATGTGACTTATTTTGGCCAGTGGGGTATTAAGACACGTTACACAAGCAATGGCCTGAAATCAGTTTGTGCACTGGGACTTGTTCTTTTGTACTCCTCCCATTGCCATGAGAAAGACAAGCCTAAGATAGATTTCTGGCCTTTGGAGGAGGATGAGAGAAATTTGGAATCAAGCTGAGTTGCCCTTGTAGTCTTAAATGATGACAGTGTAGAACAGCCATGACCATCTAAACTACAGATGCATGAGGGATCCCCGCTAAGGTCGAACTGAGTTCAGTTGAGAACAGTTAACCCCCAGCATCATGACTTCTTCTTCTTCTTCTTTTAACGATTTATTTATTTATTTGAGAGATAGAGTTACAGACAGTGAGAGGGAGAGAAAGGTCTTCCATTCATTGGTTCACTCCCAAAATGCTTGCAATGGCCAGAGCTGAGCCAATCCAAAGCTAGGAGCCAGGAGCTTCTTCTGAGTCTCCCCTGCGGGTGCAGCAGTCCAAGCACTTGGGCCATTTTCCACTACTTTCGCAGGCCATAGCAGAGAGCTGAATTGAAAGAGGAGCAGCTGGGACTCGAACCAGCACCCATATGGGATGCCGTCACCCTCAGGTGGAGGATTAACCCACTATGCCTCAGTGCCAGCCCCATCATGACTTCTAAGTTAATAATGCATGACTGTTATTTTATTTTTATTTTTCACACGGTGATAGCCAATTGGTATCAGCTGGCTTCTAGATTCTACTGGTTAAATTCTGATTTTCCTTACAGGCATTTAACATTCAGAAATAAGGACAGTTCTTTACTGTTTATCCACTTTCACTCTCTGTTCACTCAGTTTATTGCATTCTGCTTCTGCTGTGACCATTCCTAAGTGTCTGCAATCTTTCATCTTTGTTTTGCATTGTTGATCTCTGTATGCCTGTTAGACTTTCTTGTAGTGTGGTACTTTACTCTCCCTCTACTTTGAGTGTATGTAAGTGTGTGCTCTCTGATACTTTCTCTTTCTCAGTTTTCTAAAGTTCTTCCCTTATTTTTTTACCATCAGTTAATTGTGTAAAACTTTTCTATATTTTGTTTTCTGCTGTCATTTTTATCATCACTGCTAAAAGCAATGTATCATGGTAACGGCCAATGTAGTAAGCACAATGAATGTAAATAGACTGAATCAGTTATCATGCTCATTCACTTCTATATTGTCTATGGTTATTTTTATACTAGTTCTCAGAGTTTGGTAGTTGTGATGTTGATCATATAGTTCACAAATCCTAATTGGAACTTTGGGAACAATTTTACCTATCGCTTATCTAGAGTAACTCTTACTGCTTTGTTCTAAGAGCCTGAACAAACAAGATCATAGCAAGCTCACTTAGAAATAGAAAAAGTCCTTAAGAACAAGAAAGAAGATAACTATATTGTGAAACAGTTTTCCACTAGTATGGCACACAGCAGTAAAAAGGAATACAAGTGCTAGGTGTAATGCTATGAATAAATCTCAACAAAGTGACTGGAAAATGCCAAGTACCAGAAAATGTTTACAATGTGGCATCCAGTGCATATATTTACATAGTAGATGGATGAGTACATATATAATAATTTAAGGCATTATTTCCTCATGGAGTGGGGGGAATGTAATTGAGGAGGTATCGACAGAAGAGGGAAGGCTTCAATAATATTTGTGATGACATTTCTGCTAGGTTATTGTTACAAAGTGACTGTAATATTCTTTATATTCTTTTATATATATATGAAAACAAAATAAGGTAAAATTGAAATCCATAATCCCTGTCTTGAAGGTGTGAAAGCTTGTTGGGAGCAGAGGAATAAGTATGTAACTAACTGCAATAGATGATCTTGATAAAATTACAAAGAGAGTTGAATATGTTTTCATGCAGGTGTCCTGTGGACTGGGAGTGTGGCTTTAAGTGGAGTTCTCCAACCAGATAGAGAATTTGAACAGTGTGAGGAATAGCAAAGAGGGGGGATTGTTAGAGTCATGCGTGCTTTGTCTGGTGAGGTGTGGGAAGAAAAAGACAGGTGATGTTGGTCAGATTGGCATTTGCGGGACACTGTGAATGTGCAGTATTTCTGAAAATTGTTTTTTTAGCCAATAAATATTTCTTTACCATAAGTTATATTCATTTTTTAAAAGGTACCTTTAAGTTGATGTAAACATTGACATATGAGTAATTATGCTTTTCAGATACACATTTCCATGTTAGGATTGGTTGACTCCTTGATGTAAAAGATGGTGAGAGGGACCCTTGCCTCATTGCTCCCAATATCCTTCCCCTACTTAGACCAATTTGGATATTATTTTATTTTACATTGCTGATACTTACTTTTAAGAAATGATCACATGAAACTTTGCTAATAAGCTTTATATCCCAGGTGGCAGGTCTCTAGGCAATGATTGCCTTTTCAGTAGCTTCTGAAATGGAAGCTAAAGGAGAAACTCTAGTTTTACAGAACCAATATTTTAAGTTGAAGTTTTATAAAAATTTTTAAATGCATTGTTTGCCTGGAAAAGTAAATATCACATGTACACTAGTTAGGGTGGGATTTGAGGATCCACAGTTGGAAACATTCAGATAAACTGATGAAAGTACTTAGACTCATCTCTTAATCTGTATTTTTTTAAGTTCCACTTACATGGAATTAAATATTGAAAAAATAACTAGACCACAGAGAGTGAGTGTGAATTAGGTTATGGAATTTTCCACTAGGACTGATAGCATAGCCCAGAGTCACTATCTCTTGTTATTTGTAAGCCATTTTCTGTGGCCGATACTTACTGTAGTCACACATTCAGTTTTATAAAGATTATTGGAAATCATTTACTTGATTCAGATTTATGCACAGAGTTTATATTTGCATAGCTATATGGCTCTTTTACTATGGACATAATTTTAGTTTAATGAATTGCTAATCGTCACGCTTATTTTCAAACATGTGACATCAATGGTTTTGTGATTCAACAAAAGTTGCTGAATTTCCAATCTCAGGTGTATAATTGAACATTTTAATTATATTGACACAAATTTTAACAAACAATACATTGTTAATATTGATCACAATTAGGAATTGTAATCTTATCTAAAATGCACACAGTTTGGAGAGGGAGAAAGAGGCAGAAAGATTGGAAGCAGAGATTTGGCAGAGATTATCACTGTTGGACAGTGATAATAGAAGATACTGATTGGTCTGTATGAATATTTCAGACTACATTTTAACATGAGGGAATTTATTTGCAAAACAGTTGCTCTTTTAGTATTCTAATAACTTGTTAAAGTACTTATATTACAATTAATTTCACCAATAAACTTTATTGAAATCATCTATCCCTAACACATTAATGCTAACAATATAATATTTCACCATAATTATAGGATTAAAAAGATATATGATATTGTATAGTTTCTTTGGCAATAAGAGTTGATGAATCACATGGATCCAATAGCATGCTTACAGTTTTTTTTCTTTTGCCCTTTGTTTTTTTATTATTTATTTGATGTTCCTTCTGGAAAACTTTCCTTCTTGTTTTTTCTTAAAATAAGTTATTTAAAACAGCCCACCCAGTCCCTACCCAAGCATATCCACTTTCTAAGCAGTTATAATGTATAGGATGCTAGAGAATGATTTGCCTGAGACCCTATTCAACTGAAAGAGGCCAGATAAATTTATTTCTTTTTAGAGCAATATGATTACTTAGCTAACTGTGTAAATACACATATTTAATCCCTTTGTAAGTAAGAACATATATCAATAATCTAAAGGAAGGATCTTTCTGAGGCAAACTTTACTGCTCTCAATATAGCTCTCTAATCTATTTAAAATATGATTTTCTTGGACCTTTATAGTGTCCTTTTGTACCTAAAACACTTATTTTCAAAGGAATGCACTTTTATATTTCAGGAATATACAATCGATGTTTTCTTTCGACAAAAATGGAAAGATGAACGTTTGAAATTTAAAGGTCCTATGAATATCCTTCGACTTAACAATTTAATGGCCAGCAAAATCTGGACTCCAGATACCTTCTTTCACAATGGGAAGAAATCAGTAGCTCATAATATGACAATGCCAAATAAGCTGCTTCGAATCCAGGATGATGGAACACTACTGTACACCATGAGGTATGTCTTTAGGTCTAAAATGCCATATTTAATACACATAAACCCATAAACTAAGCAGCCAGACAGTGTAATTGACAAGTGTTAGCACAAGCTGAAAATTTCTCCATCAGATTGTTGAAGTACTGGTAGTAGTCTCTGTAAATGGTTGGGTAGTGAAAACTTAAAGGTAAAATAGTAATTATGAGTTTGACTCTCATCTTAGTATGTTATAACTAGAGAAATGCTCTAGTTATTAATAATGGCTTTTTGGTTATTTATTGATCTACCATGCTTTAATTAAGTATAATTTAAATCCATAATTTGCATTTATTTATCAAAGCATAATTTGATTGTTAATATCTCTTCAGATATCCTATCAACATTTTAAGTGACTTTTTAAAAAAAGATTTACTTGTGTATTTATGTATTTATTTATTGGAAAGAGAATGGGAGAGAGAGGGAAAAGAGAGAGAAAGAGGAGGGAGAGATCTTCTGTCTGGTAGTTCACTCCCCAAATGGCTACAACATCCAGAGCCAGCCAGGCTGAAACTATGAGCCAGGGGCTCCATCCAGGTCTCCCACATGAGTAGTAGGTGCCCAAGTACTTTGTCAGTCGTTTGCTGCCTTTCCAGGCAAATTAATAGTAAGCTGGATTGGAAATGAAGCAGCTGGGATTCCAGCCAGTGCTCCAATATGGGATGCTGGAATTTCTAGTAGTGGCCTAACCTGCTATACCACAGCGCTGGTGCCTTAAGTGATATTTAAGCAAGATTTTACTTAATATTTTTATTCTCCTTATAAAGTTATTCTAGAGAACATATTTCTCTTTTAAACAGTGTTCTCATTTAATAAGTCTTTAAATTAGTATATTAGGTGCCATAAACATATATTAGATTGAACCATATGAATTTACCATTTTATAAATTACATTTTATAAAATAAAATTTGCATCAATTTCCTTGGATTTAACCTAGATGAAGTTATCAAGAACTAACTGGTTGTTGAGTCTAACAACATTTTAACAAAGCTCATGAATTAGTATTTTAAAGTTCTCATCATATTAATAACAAAAAGTAAAAATATTCATTTACTTGCATCATGTAATAAAGAAAAAACACAGGTGTAGTAAAAGACATGGAATAAAATAGTTTAATAAAAGATTTAAAGCATAGATAATTCATCAGCATTACATATAAATGAACATTGTTTTCTACACATATGATGTGATGTAATATCACATGAGAAGCGAAATCTGGGTTTTAGTCATCAAAGTTACTTAAGAATGGGCAATAATACAGTCTTAGGTTATTTCTAATCTTTAAAGAATAAACTTCTGAAGACTTTACCCAAAATGGGAGTTTGACTATTCTTTCTGCCTGCCTGTCTGAATCTCTCAACACATTCGTATGCAGTGTGCTAGTTAAACTTTCCACTTTGAGTGTTCTTATGGGTTAAGTCACTGGTTGAATATTTTGGGTTTAGCCATAATATAGGCATATAATATACAGAATTCTGGAAGATATTGCAAAGAGTTTTATTTAAATACTTTATATTAAAATACATTAACCACATTTGTTGGCCACATTTTTCTGCTCATTTTGACAGATATTGTAATAATTTCCTTTTGGTGCCTTCCTTATCCACTTTGCCTTAATGTGAAATAGAATAATTGCAAGCTTTCTTCATAACTCAATTTCTCTGACTACTCTTTCTTGTGATCAGGCAGATACAGGAAAAATATATCTCACATTCAAAATTTAAGTGCAAAATTCAGCCAACAGTCTGATCTCAAGAAAATATTTCTAGGATATATGTCTATATACATATTTATATTTGTTTATATAGTCATATACTGTTGAAAGTATCTATATACCATATGATATTCATTAACAATTTGCTTATTTTTGAAGAGAGCTGCTCTGGGCCAATGAGATGGTGGAGAAGAAAATAGCATTTTTTGCAATTTTTGGAGTTTTTTTTTAATATGTAGCTTTTTACAATTTTTATTCTTTAAGATTTCAAAGCTAGTGAGGTTACTGAGAAAACTATGTTTCAAAACACCTATATATTCATTTTTTCACTTCTTAACATACAGTAAAATACATTTTAATAACTATTATAAGTTATATGTGGACTTTGTATTTATTAATGTCTTCTGAGGGATCACCTGAATGTTAAACTAGATTTATATTAGTTAAAAGAAAAGAACTTAAAGAATTTTCATCTCATTAATTTAGATTGAGAACAGTGATGAGTTATTTTTCTTGACTTGCCAATTTGTTTAAACAAAGAGTGGAATTTTGACTTTTAGGCTTACAGTTCAAGCTGAATGTCCAATGCACTTGGAGGATTTTCCAATGGATGCTCATTCATGTCCTCTGAAATTTGGCAGCTGTAAGTAAAGGGGTGAAGGTATATGTTTTGGGTCAATAATGTCAGAGCTAGTCAGTGGCACTGCTCAATTGTACAATTTCTTTTCATTTACTGGGATGTTTAACAATTTCCCAATAAGATAGAAGTAAAAATACATGCTGACTGCCTTCAGGGAACTAATTAGTGAACCCTCAAATATCATTATATTATAATCACTGTTTAAATTATAGCTTGTTTGCTAAAAATGAATGTGTGTTTTAATACATGTATAAAACTAGACCAAGAGCTTGTTGAAGGTCAAAACTGAAATTTACCTTCTTTTTCTAGTGTTATTAAAAATGCAAAATAAATGCTTTTTTTCATCAACTACAATAAATTGTAAAAGGTAGTTCTATTGTTTATTAAAGTATCTGTCAGCTTGTTGCCAAAGGCAGAGAGATGTGCAATTGTCTCTGCTGCATAACTCATGGAAGGGATATATATATTTTTTTTCCTAAAATAAAATTGGAGGAGGTGATGCTGTTGCTACGTGAAGACAGCTTCCATGTACGTAGAATGGCCTTTGGCCATTTTTAGGTCACGGAGGCTCTATCTGGTATGTCAAGCAGAAGCATTCACACTCCTAGAATAATTGGAAAGGCGGAAGGTCAGATCATCTCCCCGGGTCCCCACATGGCAATCTAGGCAGATTCAGAATACATTTATGAGCACTGTTGAGCAGCATCTCTCTTGTGTGAGCATGTGCCATCCCTGACCTTTCTAGCAACTGTACTCTTTCTGGAACCAATCTTTGTCTATTCTGGGCAGCTTTTGGCTATATATTCTCAAATGAATATAAATGCAGTGCTCTTACCCGATTAGAAATAAATATGACTGAACAGTGTGCCTTCTCTCAAAATGTATCAAACAACAAAAAAGAAAAGAATAATGACTAGTATGAATGCAAAACTCTTGATTATTTTGATGATAATGGTTTTGTGGGATGAATTCAGTTTTGTTTCTTCTGGTCATTCTTATGAAAGGTGGTAGTCCCTAACTTTTTTGAGAATCTGCACTTGTTTACAGACAAAGGCTTCTTGTATTGTCATGGAAAGAATCACTTCCATACTGGCATTTTACCCCAGTGTTATTTCAGTCAACCATGTTATACAATGTAAACATGATGCTGAGAAAACCACAGCAGATGCAGTAGAGAAAAACACATTTGCATTGCATAACTGACATTAAAGTAAAAATTGAAAAGCCTTGATATGAAAAACAAAATTTATTCAAGATGTAATAATGATATAAAAGAATAGGCATTTTAAGTGGGCAAAATATTGTCATTAACACATCAAATATAAATGATGTAATGCCTAAATTGTGAAAATGAAATAAATGTGTTTAAAATACTTTAAATGAAGCTTAAAGATATCTTATAGTGAATCTATAGAGTAATAGAGAATTACATGATTGAGAATATGGTTTTCCCTTTACAGAAGGGATATATGTACCACAGTTTTTGAAAATCACACTTTATATAAGTAATTACTGTTGCATTTTTCTTCACGTTTATATTCTGATACATTCTTTTTTTTTTAAAGATTTATTCATTTATTTCAAAAGCAGAGATTACAGAGAGGGAAGGAGGGAAAGAGAGAATCTTCCATCTGCTGGTTCATTCTCCAAATGGCCACAACAGCCAGAGCTGGCCCAGTCGAAATCCAGAAGCAAGGAGCTTCTTCTTGTTCTCCCATGTGGGTTCAGGGTCTCAAGCATTTGGTCCATCTTCTGCTGCTTTCCCAGACATATTAGGAGGGAGCTGGACTGGAAGTGGAGCAGCTGGGACTTGAACCAGAGGCCATATGGGATGCTGGTATTGTAGACATCAGCTTTACAGGCTACATCACAATGCCAACCCCACATTCTTTTTATGCTTGCTTATAGTAAGAACTTGTTGCATTAGTGTAGAAGCACAGACAAGGCAAGCCAAACCTTAAAGTGTTGGTGAAGGAAAGTTTGCTCAAGGCAGTAATAACATTTTCTTCTAGTCATTTATTATTATCTTATTCAAAAATTCCCCAGCCCACAGAATTGGATTTCTGAAGGTTTATCATTGTCCCCAAATAAAGAAGCATCCTTTCTGTATGTTTACAATTTAAAAATTCAGTCTTTTAAATAAAATTATTACCCACATACTCATACTTTTCCTTTTTGTTTCATTTGATTTCATACTGCCTGAATGGAAACCTAGGGATATTTTGTGCAGTATCCCCAAAAAAAACTATAAGTTGTCTTTTGAGATAAAAACTACTGGGTAATAATATTTTTGGAGTATTTTTCTTGATTACTGTGTAGTGAGATTCAATAAGTAGCTATCTGTGAAATGCAGTGTAAAACTAAAAAGTGTGTTATTTCATTGAATTAAATAAAATTAATTGATGACAGGCAATTTCAACGGGGAATTTTTAATGCTCTAAAACATCTTTCTTTTCCTGTGTACTCTGTTGAAGAATATTATAAAGTCCCCCTGGTTTATGTGTGTTAGTGTACCAGTGAGAGCCTCCAATTTGTATTGCATAACTTTCTGCTATATTTTTTTCACCATACCAAAAATATAAAAATGTAGTCCTGTCTAACTAATGAAATGTAGTCACTGCTTTATTAAAATATGTGGAAGTTTGGTCATTTTATGTAATATATTCTTGGACTGTTCCCCAGACTTCCATCTTCAATGATGGTAAATAACATAATTAAAACATGAATTTATTAATTAATATAGCAAGAACAAAGAGAGAACAACATATCCTATATGTCAGGCCAATACTTGGAGCTAGACGTATAGACATGGATCATATACAATCCCTGTCTATCAGTATTTCACTAATCTCTTTAAAATGTCATCACTTTTAAAGTCTTTCATTAAAATCATAATTCAAAAGTAGTATAATTATACTTGCTTAAAATAACTTCACAAATTATTAAGTTTCACAACTCTGAATGTTATGAGACTCTTTTGATGAAAAGTGGCACATGTGATGTAGTTTTTTAAATGTTGAATTGTGTACATTTGAAATTTTATTAACAATGGGGTTAGAATTTAATTGCATGGGGAAACAAAATAAGCCACCTGATCTGCAAACGAATTGCTAGTTAACTACAACAGTGCTACTGATATCATTATTCTTCCCAGTAGAATCTTTAGTAATTAACTAATCAAATTAATTAACAAGAAATTTGAACCTTAGAATAACTAGAATTCATTCCTCTCTAAATATTGCATAGATAATATCTGCTATCAAAATTATATACATCTTAGTACATACAAATATAGAAGTACATTTAATTTTAGAGTCTTATTTCAAAAATCATTTCACATTATTTACTTGTGGATGTACTTGAGTACATGTATAATGGGGACAATATTTCACTGATAGTTAACAAGTAGCAGTGGCATCTATAAAACCAGATGACATTGCTTTATTTCTTTAAAACACCACACAGCATTAAGTCATAGAGCCATAAACTCTCACTTTGCTGTTACTGAACAGGTGCCCATATGGGATGCTGGCATTGCAAGTCGTGGCTTTACCCGCTGCGCAACAGCGCCGGCCCCTGTGTGCATTCATTTGAAAATAAACATGTACTGAAAGGGGTTGCAACTGGATGGAACCAAAACATTCTGATTAATTTTGCAGGTTGTGCAATAATTAGTTATCATTTTCCAGTGATATGCATTATGTCTTAATAGCTAAGTCTTTTATATCAACTAGGTTACTTTTATGTCCAGAAGTCTATATGATTTGGGATTGTGATTTTTATTTCATGAGTGATTGGTACTTCTACATAAACTGTTTAACCATACTTTGGGCACTAGTAATCTGTTTACCATTATGTCTTCATTCTCTTCCTTGGGACTTAGGGAAATGTTTCAGCCATCTCGTATCCCAGTGATTTTTTTCAGGATCTACAGAAAAAGTGCTCTTTATTCTCAAAGCAGTTGAAGTTATACTACTCTCCTGTTCATGTTTATCTCTCTTCCTCTGCTTCACACCTCATATTGAAGTTGGAAATTCAAAGGACACAATTTTGCCCTAAGAAATGATAAATATGTTTTTAGTACATAGTGAGTGTGTGAAATGAATAACCCTTTGTATTACACTCTACTAACATATTTTTTTCTGATTTTCTACAGATGCATATACAACCTCAGAGGTCACTTATATTTGGACTTACAATGCATCTGATTCAGTACAGGTTGCTCCTGATGGATCCAGGTTAAATCAATATGATCTTCTTGGTCAATCAATTGGAAAGGAGACAATTAAATCCAGTACAGGTTAGTGAATGTGTAAAGGAAAGCAAATGCCCAAGAAAATTAATAGGTCAAAGTCATTGGAAATGCATCAGATTACTTAAAAGTATTTGTTCTGGAGGCTCATGAACTAAAAGCATAGACTTCTTGGAAGCTTTTAAGACTTTCAGAACCTTGGGCTTCACCCTTATAAAATTTGCACTGAACTAAAGTATACTTCTATTTTCAAAGGATGTGTCTTCTCAGACCAGCCAATTATAACATTTATATTCAAACATGTGATGAAAATTTCTGTGTTTTTCTTATTATTTTCCCCTTGTACTGGATAATTTATGACTATTAGACTCTGAACATATAGATAATAACAATTGGCCTGTGAGCTTTTCTATGAAAGGGCCACCCTTATGTGTGAACATGGATTAACGTCCTTCCATCTGGCCACAGTTACAACCCAGGGAACAGAAAGGATGGTAGATACAAGGAGCAGATAGAATTGACTAAAGTACAATGAAGCAGAAATACAATAGTGAAAATTCAGATTTAATGTTAGGGTTAAATTGGAAAAGCTGAACCAGAAGACCAGTCTGGGGGATGGGGCCAGAGACCAACCATTTAAAGCCAAAGAAGAGCAAGTTAGGTCAGTCCTAGCAGAAACTTGAAGGTAGGACCAGTGATGATAAGGAACCTATTCATATAAAATAATCGATTGACAGAGAACATTTATGAATTTTTAATTCTTTTGGTGAGCTAACATCACCTAAAAAGAAAAAAAAGCAACCACATACCAGATCATGGGACATGCAATTCATGTTTCTAGATGCTATAAAAATCATTTTAATTACTCTTGTTAAGCAAACTAGGCATTTGAAGGTGATACAGTTTCCATTAGATATATGGGATAAATTTGTTTTCTTCAGGAACTATTCTTTCTCTGTTCTCTTCAATTTCCAAAATGTTAAAACTATTGCCTATTACAGTTTTTAAGCTTCCTAATTTTTTTATTCCAGGTGAATATACTGTAATGACAGCTCATTTCCACTTGAAAAGAAAAATTGGGTATTTTGTGATTCAGACATATCTACCTTGCATTATGACTGTCATTCTCTCGCAAGTATCATTTTGGCTCAACAGAGAATCGGTGCCTGCAAGAACTGTGTTTGGTGAGTGATTAACTACATACTTTGTAGTGCAGCACATTATGTTTCTTAGCACTCTCTCTCTTGATTCTCAGACCAACACTTAGTGGTGTATGGGCAGGCAGTATTGATTTTACTCTATAGATGAGGAAACTAGGCTCAGGGAAGTGAAATGGAGCTAGTGCCACACTGTCAGTAAAGGCTGTAACCAGGACTCAAACATTATGAAAATACATTCAATGTTTTTTTTTAAATCATATTGTGTATTAATATTTATTTCCATGTTAACAAAGGGAGAGTTTTCTTAGAGGTGTTAACTTAGACTATAACAGTACCATATTTTCAGGGTTGCTGTGTTTATTTTTCTTTTGTTTTTAAATTGAGACAAGGATTTTAGTGATATAAGTTAGAGAAAGCAGAAGGAAATGAGAAACACTTTATTCACCTCCATTAGTGTGTCCAATTTTCTTGATTGAAACTAGGCGGAGGAACTGTTTAATTTACAGTATGGAGTACCATATTTTTAGGCATTCTGTATCTGCTTTAGTATTGTTTTAAGATGAAGAAAGGTGTTTTTAGTGTTAAAAATTCGATTAACTAATTAATTTTTATTTATTTGAGAGGCAGAGTGACAGAGATAAACCAGTAGACAAAGTTTTCACCTGCTGGTGCATTCCCCAACTGCGTACAATTGCTGGAACTGGGCCAAGCTAAAGTCAGGAACCAGGGCCTTAATCCAATTCTTCCCAAAGATAGTAGGGACCCAACCACTTGATTTATCACCTGCTGCCTTCCAGAGTATGCAGTGGTAGAAATCTGGAATCAGACGCATAGCCAGGACTTGAACTCAGGCATTCTGATATGGCATATAGGCATCTTGGTGTCCTAACCACTGGGTCAAATGACTGCTTTGATTTTAACAGTTTAAATAAAAGAAAGAAATGGAGAGAGAAAGTAGCACAGAGTGATCATTCACTCTATTACTGTTTTTAATAACAAAGTTCATCTTCTTGATTTAAACCATGCAGGAGAATCTGGGTACTGCTTTTTGGATATATGAATTAGGCTGAACTCACTTTATAACATAGTAGATGATCTTTGTGTGTTTGGTTCACTCACTCATCTAAGAAAGTATTATCGTGAACCCGCTATAGTACCACATCAGGGCCTAGTGATTCAAACAAAGAGAAAACACCATCCCTGCACTCAAGTAGCTTTATATGGTGGATTGAAGCAGAATAACCTGAATGGATAAGGACAATACAAGATAAAAGCATTGACATGTCATTATAGAAAACAGTGGCATGGATTCTTCCCCGTGGAACAAGTTGAGTTAACATTTTAGCTAAGTCTGTGAGAATGAGTAGGAATTTCCCAGAATGATGAGATGGGACAAAGATCCTAGTCTAAAAGAAGGATTATGCAATTGAAGGATTAAAGAACTTGATACAGTCACTGATAAAGGCCATGTAAGGTGTTAGTGGAGACAAAGATAGAAGTGTAGCTTGAGGCCTAGCTGAGAAGGGCCTTGTAGGTCATGTTGGTAAAATGTACTTTTGTCTTAGAGGTGAGAGCAATCCACTACAGGGTTTTGAGGCTGTAATATCTATAAAACCCTCAGAACATTGCCTGGACTCCCAATGAGTATATGTAATTATTCATATTTTAAAAGATTTATTTATTTATTTGAAAGACAGAGGGACATGGAGGGGATGGAGGAGAGACAGAGGCAGAAAGAGGGAGAGATATCGTCAATCTCTCTCTCTCTCTCTTTCCCTCACTCCATCTCTCAAATTAATCCATAAACCTATTAAAAAAAAAGAAGGAAGGACGTCTAGCATTGTGGCACAGCATAGTCTCAGCCTCTGCTTACAAAACTGGCATCCCATATAGACCCTGGCTGCTCCACTTCTGATCCAGCTACCTGCTCATGTGCCTGGGAAGGCGGTGGAAGATGATCTAAGTGCTTGGGCTCCTAGTGCCCACATGGGAGATCCACATCTAGCTACAGGCTCCATTCTTCCACTTGGCCCAGTGCTGGTCATTGCAACCATTTGGTGAGAGAACCAATGGATAGAAGATCAATCTCTGATTCTCTCTGCTTTTCAAATAAATACATAAATATTTATAAAAAATAAAAAAGACATTTTCCTACCATAGAGCTTAAAAGTAAACAATAACTTCATGTTGTCCTGCATTTCTCTTGTTTATTCCCACAACTAAGTAACAGATATTTAACGCTTACCTCAAGAATTCTAGCAATTACTGATCCATTGCACCCACCCTACAGGAGCAAGCTTCCAGTGTCGGCTGCTTCTCAAAGGTCAATGAAGAGACCCTGAGAAACATTTTGCAGAGTCAGAGACTCTCCCCTCTGCATCCACTACACTTGACTCTTTCTTCCTTACTCTTTCTCCCTTTATTATTATTTATTTACTCTTATGAATATACTCCCTGAAGTCTTACAGTTGGAATCGTGGTAACAACTTTGGTTTTGTTCTTTTAAAGATTTGTTTGTTTATTTGAAAGGCAGAGTTACAGAGAAAGATAGGGAAAATAGAGATCTTCCATTCACTGGTTCACTCCCCAAGTGGCTGCAATAGTGGGGGCTGGGCCAGGCTGGAGCCAGGAGCTCCATCAGTTTCTCACATGCGAGCAGGGCCCAAGCACTTGAGCCATTTTCCTCTGCCTTCCAAAGTGAATTAGCAGGGAGCTGGCTTGAAAGTGGAGCAGCCAGGTCTTGAATTGGTGCCCATATGGGACGCTGGTGTTGCAGGTGGTGGGCCTTGATAACAACATTTAGAAACCAAATTTCCCAGACAAGTGTTGTAGCATCACTAACAGGCTACAGTTAATACATAATTTTCACTATGAAATCATTAATGCCTTTATATCTTTACCTGTCATTGAACTAAACATTTAAATTCTAAAAAGCTCCTCTTCTATTGTTCTCTTATGGTGCTTTGTAATTGTCCATATTATGAAACTAATCATATTTTATTAGTTATTCAATTTACATGTATAATAGATTAACAGAATTGTAAAGAACATGACAGTTGAGCACCACTAACTTGATGAATCATATACATTTGTAGAAAACACAAATTAATAAATGTGACTCAAAGGGAAATGAAAATCTCAACAGATCTATAAGTAGAGCAATTCAATAAGTAATCAAAACATCCTGACAAAGAAAAGTCGAGAACCAAATGGCTTTAATTGTGAATTCTACCAAATACTTATTGAATAAATAGCACCAGTAGTCTTAAAACTTCTTCTAAAATATGATGAAAGAGCACTAATATCAAAGCTAGACAAAAATACCATAAGAAAACTATAGACCAATGTCTTTTAAAAGAGATGAACAAATCCTCAAAAAACTTTATTAAAGTAAATCCAACCCTTATTACAAGATTATACACCAATAACTAGTTTTATGTATCTCAGATATCCAAAGGTCATTGAAAATAAGAATAAGAATAATGAATAATAAGAAATGTATTCAATATAATTTAATAGATATTGAAAAAGGAGGGTAAATGAACAAAATTAAACAAAAAGTTCTCACTTGCATACCATATCAATAAATGAAGGAAAAACATTCAACAGCTGTTCATGATAAAAAAAATAAAACTAGGAAAGGGAGTGGAATTTTTTTAACATGAAATATATATTAATGAAAAACCCACAGCGAACATCACATTCAACGGTACAAGATTGACAGTGTTCCCTTAAGCTCAGGATATGTGGGATCAGTGTTTGACACAGCAATTAAGTAACTTCTTTTTATGTGTGTGTCCCATATTGACATGCTTGGCAAGAGCCTTGTTAGCTTCTGATCCAGCTTCCTGCTAATTCGTACCTTTGTAGGTAGCAGATGTTGGCTCATGTGCTTGAGTCCCTGCCACTCATGTAGGAGATCTGGATTGAGTTTCTGGCCTTAGTCATTGTGGGCATTTGGAGAATGAACCAGAAAACTGAGGATTGATCTCTCTCTCTCTCTCTCTCTCTCTCTCTCTCTAAAATAAAAAAGCAACTTCAAAAGATCAGGATCAGGGAAATGTTGCCCAATTTCATTACTATTATTAATACTGTACTTGAAGTCATATTCAGAGAAAGTAGGAAGAAGTAAAATAAAAAAATCAAATAGGAAAGGAAGAAATGAAACTATATTTTGAGACTCTTGAGTATATATAAATAAATAAAATAATCCCCCCAAAAAATCTCCCCTGAAAAAACTATTAGAACAAAAAGCAAATCAATGGAATCGAAGGCTACAAGGGCAATGCATGAAAGTTGGTTTGGGGCTAGCATTGTGGCCTAGAATGTAAAACATAAAGGCCCCAGCTGCTCCATTTCTCATCCAGCTCCCTAATAGCCTGGGAACAGCAGCAGCAGATGGTCCAAATGTTTGTGCTCCTGCCACTCACATGAGAGACGGATGAAACTCCTGGCTCCTGGCTTTGATTGGTCTAGTCATGGCTATTGCATCCATCTGGGGAGTAAACTAGCATATGAAAGATGGCTCTCTCTCTCTCTCTCTCTCTCTCTCTCTCTCTGTCTCTGACTCTCTCTCCATCTTTTTCTGTAACTCTGACTTTCAAACAAATAAGTAATCTTTTTTTTAAACTTTTATTTAATGCATATAATTTTCCAAAGTACGACTTATGGATTACAATGGCTTCCCCCCCATACCGTCCCTCCCACCCACAACCCTCCCCTTTCCCACTCCCTCTCCCCTTCCATTCACATCAAGATTCATTTTCGATTATCTTAATATACAGAAGATCAGCTTAGTATACATTAAGTATGGATTTCAACAGTTTGCTCCCACACAGAAACATAAAGTGAAAAATAATAGATGATTTTTTTTAAATGATGATGAAATCAGTTTGGTTCTACATACCAACAATGAATAATTCAAAAAGAAATTAAGAGAGTACTGTATTAACTATAACACACAAAAGAATAAAATATGTAGGAATAAATTTACCATGACTATGAAAGACTTATCTACTAAAAAC